CGAGGTCTGACTTTCCCGGAGAAGTGTCACCTCTCTCGGCGTCTGTTCTGTGCAGTGAGCGGCAGAGAAGCAGCTCATTCAGTTGGCCGCACCGCAGCCGACTCGTCAATAGAGCGTTTCCTAGCACCTGTCGCTTACTGATTGTTTTTTTTAGTTTGTTACTCAGACGCATGCAGTGTGCTGCATGAGACAAAAAAGTAATATAGCCAAAACAAACGCATAGCAGCTCTTCAGTGTAGATGCATGTTGATTTTATCAGACAATAAATTATAATAAACGATTATAAATGAGAGTGACTCCTGGTTAACATGCATTAAAAGGGGTCGTGTTTAGTCACTATTTAGTGTGGTATTTTTGGACAATATTCACTCATCATGACAGTAAAATAGGGCATTCTAAGTCAATATACTGCAGTATTTCCTCTCTCAATCAGTAGAAAATATGGTTAACACCCGGTCATGCATGAGAAAAAAATACCGTCATGTACCGTGAAACCGGTATAATTTTGAAAAATACCGTGATATAAATTTTTGGTCATACCGCCCAGCACTACTCCAATCTCATCCTTCTTTGATCTAATCCCCTGACTTCTGATTAGAATTCTGACCTATTTCTCATTTTCCGATCAGCCATTTTTCTATACAGTAGACTACCAAATTCATTCAGTCTTTGTCTTACAGTTTATTTACTGATTAATTATATACATTCTTGTGATTTAATAATACTTTATTAATAAAGTACTTTAACCTGTGGACTTCAAAAAATAAAAAAATACTTTAACCTGTGGACTTCAAAAACAACCTGCGTCAACAGTGTAAAAGTAGCCCAATTCTATGGTAAAACCACAGACTTGGCAACCCTGTCCTGTTCATACCTTTCTTGTATGTCTGTATAGTCACTTGTACACGCTGATTAATCTGAACATTGTAATTTATTTCCTTCAAATAATATTGGTGTAAATGTAGGTATCTAAATACGGCTTGGTTTACAAGACCAAACTTTTATAGTTTGCAAGCTTTCCATACTGCCATAATTTATAATGATCCATATATAACAATCCTATGATCAATCATCCCTGGTTTAAAGTCTTCATGCCACGGCTGCTACGCCAGAGTTTCACTTCATGGTTCGAGAGGTGAGTAGATCAAGTCCAGTGTTCCCGACTCCAAGTCCAAGTCCCGACAAAGTTTTATGGACTAAGTCACAGGCACAAAGGCCATCCATGACCCTTTTTTGCCCCAAGCTACTGCCATGGTGCCCATCCGTGAACCAAGTCTACACAAAGTTACACCTATGGAGACCGTTCACTGTGTCCCATGTCATGGAGGCTGTCCATACCCACTCTGTCACAGCCAAGGAGGCCGTCCATGTTTCTGCTCCACCATGGCCTCCTGATCTCCTGTGATCTTCTGCTCTGCAGAGGTGGTCATCCCCTCCACCAGCTCCACCCCGGTGGTCTCCATCTCCACTCACTACATAATGCCAACATAATCCCTCATGGGGATCACCATCGCTTCACTGCCACTGCTCCATGGGCCATGGTCTCATCCTCTGCTCCACGGTCCAGACCCACCACTGCTCCACAGTCCAAGCCCTCTAATGCTCCATGGATGCTCCCTAGTCTACCATTGCTCCCCAGCTTGAGGCCACCACTATTTCACAGCTCAGGTCTGCTACCGCTCTACAGCCCAGGTCAACAATGCTATGATCCAGGCCCACGTCACTGTGATGTATACCACCAAAATACCACGAGTGGGATTCAAGAGCAGTAAGCTGGCTTATTCTGCACAGCTTCTACAGAGCGACTGTACAAGCTCTGATGATGACACAGT